TAAAACAATTTCAAATAAATAATCATATAGAGATTTACGAGGAACAGTATAATTTTGGTTGATGTAGAACTTACCTCAATCGCGATAATTCCTAACCAAAGCTTCTATATCTCGATCTTTTCCAAAGTCGCCTTGTACGGTTCCATCGTCGTCTTCCTCGTCGATCCAAGATGGCGGCAGATGTCAACAGCAGATGTCTCCGGGAGAAACGATGTCCGGTCAACTCAGTACCGACGCCAACTCTACTGGCTTCTCCTACTCTGGCATCACGGTTTCAACATTCCGGCAGATTCTTTTCCCTCAGTCGCACGAGTTTCTCTTCTGGCGTAAACTAGTTGTCGCAGCGGCAGAACAAGTGCCAGGTTGACGCTAACTAGCAGCTGCTGTTTTTCTTCCTCCGATGGCGAAGGAATGGTCGTCGCGATGTTCTGTTCGTTTTCCCTTTGCAGCCACGAAGTGAAAAGGTCGTCGATAATATGTGTATATGTATATATGGGGTTCTCCTATCCGTATATGGTTACGTAAGTGTATCCCATTTCCTTCTGCGGCGGCCATGAACGAACGATGTATATATATATATGCTTGGCCGATGTTTCTAGACCTAGGGTTTGATGCATTAAAAATCGGTTCGGCCGCTTAATTCTCTTATACGCATGTGCAGTCTTACACTACGTAGATGTATATAAGTAAACAACGTCAAATATATAGCAACCTATGTTATATTTATTGTTAATAATAAGTATTACTATTATTAATTTTTTTTACTAGTATTATATTGTTATGAGTAACGTGAGTGGTAAATACCCATTGTGGGTTACGCATGTGAATTACAAAGGGTGTGTAGAAAAGTCAAACGATTTATTAAAATGTTACTTTACTTATTAAGTCAGTATTTTAATTATTAATTAACTTAAAAAAAAATGTCACTTTTGTCTTAAAATTTTGTTTCACATTTAACTTTTTGTTTTATTAATTTTTTTTTGGAAGTGTCACACCCAATGAGTCATTGTTATCTACGACTCATCTCGGAATTCCGGCTCTCACCGACCACCAATTGGAACCTGAATTTCTACCTTAAGTGTGCACACCCTCTAAAAAGGATTCCAAGTAGTAAGAAACTCAAGTAGGCAGGATGTTTTCTATCACCTACTCACAAGGGACATTGTCCAGGGGTAAATTAGGTAACTACTACCACGACCACCAAAGGATCTTTGATCCTCAAATAAAAGTCCGGGAGGTCTACCGGAGTATGTCATTGTCGGACTGGTTACCGACCCAAATAAATTTCACCAAAAGTAGTAGTAGCCCTAACCACCCACGCTTCGTGTTTCTCTAGAGACGTAAGGATATATATTATGAAAACTTTAAGTTCTCCCCAAATCATTCTTGTCACATTTTTTTCAAAATATCCTTTGTAATAAATATAAATCCACCAATATCATATCCTTTAATAAAAAAAATATACATTTAATCATCCATAAAAGGTAATAATCCACCAATATTCATATAGTCGAAATATCCAATCCATGTCAAACATATAATTTCCAATTCATAAATAGTTCACATAGTTCAAATATTGCATACATATAAGTACGAGGCAAAACATTTTGGTTGACATAGAACTTACCTTAAATTGCGATAATCTCCTTAATAAAATCTCTAGCTTGATCTTCACTTGAATTCTCCTTCTAATATTGATCAAAATTTTAAATCAATAACTATTCTACTATTTCGTTATTTCTTATATATCCAACCTTTAATTACTTTAACTTCATAATTCCTTCTTTAAATATAAATATTAAATTAATAAATCTTACTAAATGTTTATTTCCAGTCCATTCTTAATATTTTCTTTAATTATAATAATCCAACTCGGTTTTTCTTAATTTATTTGGTTAAATAGTTAACGGGTCCAATTAGTTTAATTATATAATGATTTCATTATTTCGGATTAAATAAGTATTTTTAGTCCAAAATTCAGTTTACATAATTTACATAATTTATTTAATAAATCTTCTAATAATAATTTCATGTAAGCAATAATTTGAAATAATAATCACTAATGATAGTCTAATCTCAATAACCACTTTAATTAGTTCAATAGTTTATTTATACCAACTAACCCAATTTCATTAACTATTTCAATCCCCCAGTTTTATTTATTTTATTAACCAATTTAATTGAACTAACTTTATCAACTAAATAAGTTTAATTATATCAATATAGCTAAATACATTAATCTTATTCAGTTAAGACAATAATCAAACTAATTTCGTTTTAATTTTCTGTTTTTACTATATAGTCCAAAAATATTACTAAGTCCATATTATGACTAATTTAGCCATTAAACTAATTACTTAGTTAAACTAGTCCAACGAAGTCAATTGAATAAATTATTAAGTACACGCTACTTAGTTAATTTATTTATATTAACCCACTAATTTTATTTCAAATTATTATTTTTATTCCAGAACATTATTTTTAATCTAAGTTATTTATTTATTAATATCAAAATTTCCTTATTTAATTACTTAACTAGTTTATATGGCTCAATTAAATTAAATAACTTAATCGTCACTTTTATAAATTACTAACCATCCATAACTATAGCTTGGGTCTATCATTGACCTAGGTTGTCCAGCTATTTATTTTAGAATTATTTCCTTTATTTATTCATTTGTTTCCATATATCTATTAAGCGGTTTAATTACAATTAATTATGCTAATCGTAATTTTTATTAATTATAAATGGTCCCAAATGTCCTAGTTAGTCATATATTTAATCTAGCTTATTCCAATATTATTTCACAATTTATTTCGTCATTTAGTTAATTATTTACTAAATATGTACAAATTGGACCAATTACAATTAAATCAATTAAAAATAGATAAAGATATTATCTTTCAATTTTGGTTGGTCCGAATATGTATATTTATACTAGGTATTTAATTTATATTTTTCCAGATTTTATTTATTTCATTTACTATTTTATTTTTAATTTTTATTGAAAATGGGCCGAACCGGCCCAAATACGCAACCCGGCCCAAGAAGACTGGGTTGTCTTCTTCCCAGCTCTTCTCCAGGTTGCGATTTTGGCGACTGGAATCACGAAATCTTCGGCGAACGATAACTTTACTTACAGGTAACAGATTTCGACGATTCAAGTTGCAAAATGATCCTCACGTCGAGACGAAGCTCCTCCACCCCTATCTACGGCCAAATGTCCGCTTTTGCTGAAGACCCGTTTGCACGACTTGACACTCCGACGACGTCTAAGCAACTCCGGTGACTACGAATCGGTCTGGAATTTATTGGGAAGTATTCCTAGACCTCTCAAGACCCTCCTCTATCGTTTTTACGAAGTTTGATACGTAAAATAATATAGATATAAATTTTTCGGCGAGATTATGTATATATATGTATATGTATATATAGCTTCTATCTTTCCGATTTGCAGTGTTTGGGATGGCTAAGAGGGTGTATTTATAGGTCTAGATGGTTCTTATGGGTTATTTTATTTATTTGATAATTGTATGAATAATAATAATAATAATAATAATAATAATAATAATAATAATAATAATAATAATAATAATAATGTCTATACATAATAATAATAATAATAATAATAATAATAATAATAATAGGTTGGTAGTTGATGAACATGGCATGTGTATTGATTCGTGATTTGATTCCCATTTATATTGATGTTTCATTTTATTTTATTTTATTATTATTTTTATTTTAATTACTTAAATATATTTTGAGTTTTACATATAAATATATGTGTTTAGATATATGTACATAATGTATATACATTATTTGGTAGGTGATCTTAGCATGTGCCATTGTTTTATGATCTGATATTTTCATTTATTAATTTGATGCTATTATTAGTAATTTATAATATTCTTAATATTTTTATTTATTTATTCTGTCACCTATATTTTATCTGATTTATTTCCATTTTATTTTTATTTTATTTTTTTCCGATGCCACATAAGTGTTTAATTCTATTGCATGTAGTGTGCGCATATTTTTATACACCAAGTATAATAAAAAAAATATTTTGATATTACTTTCATTTGATTTATCAGATATAACTTATCTGATTTACTTATTTATTTATTTATTTATTTTTATTTCAAATTTTCAAGGTATCACACTTTGAGGTCCAGAGTCATCATTTGGAAGGCAACCTTACTAATACCATTCTAATTGGACACACCACAAATCTTTTATTACTTACATTGTCATTCTTTGGAACCTCTGGAAGATGAGAAACATCACCCTTTATGATGATATATCCCCTAATTATTCTGAGGCCATATATAATATCAGACGAGAAATTATTTCCCTCAATGATATTAAGAGTCCTACTAAGACCCTTAGAAGCAGACCGAAAGTGGTCTTGTGGAACCCTCCCCGGGCCGACCATAGAACTCTTAACATTGCTCAAATCCAAAAAGGCCTTTCCCACAACTTTGGGTTTTTGGTGCGCAACCATAAGGGCCACATGACCTCCCATCACACCCGTAGTATTTTGTCCAACTCCGTAGTGAAAGCTTTTCTAGAGGCTTACCATGACTATCTCATGTTTTGTAGAGACTCGGGAATCACCTACAACAATATTCAAATAGATAACCCACAAGTCTTCAAGGCCATTAATCTGGAATGCGTCAATCATTGGGATCAAATCTTCACCATCTCTTGCATTCGTAGGATTTTGCATCAAAATCACATCATCCTCAGTCTTGTCCACAAAAAGGTCAATTGCGCCGCCAAAGAAATTAGTATGGGGGTTGATGTCAAATCCAATAGATTCAGTAATATTCTAAAATTTGATGCTATTGATTTTCCTTATGTTATCTAATTGACTTTTAGGTGAGTTTTGGCCTATTCCCCCCACATTGTACTTCCTTTCCTTCCCTCACTCATAAATAAATGGTAAGGTGTTCCCGGCCCTTACCCCATCATCTTAGGATGGTTTACCACTGGGTTTAAAAAGAATGACTCTGGAGCCTGGATACGATAAATTAAGAAGAGCCCGTTCGACACGACTACACGAGTCTATTCTGGCCCACTAACGACCTCCTTCCTTTCCCCGACTTCACGCCTTTGAATCGTTGATGCGAGCAGCCTGACGAGAAAGGAAAACGGAACAATACCCTGCCGGTACGGCCATCGGAGGAGTGTTCTGCGGACCCATGAGCGGGAAAGCCCGAAATTTCCGCCGCCGTGGTGGAGAGGACGCAGATGAAGCTGAAACGTCTGCAGTTTCCGCGCCGAATGGCAACTTGGCTAAGTCGCAAGCCAAACCTGTCGCCAGCTTCGGCAAGCCGAAAAAGCCTTCAACCTTAGCTCCGAAGAGCCTACTTAGCTTTGCGGATGACGAAGAGTCCGAGGATTCTCCTTTCAGTCGGCCTTCTAGATCCTCCTCATCAAGCTCTCGCCCCGTCAAGGCCTCCTCTTCTCACAAGCTGTCAACAGTGAAAGGAAGAAATCCTACTGCGGCCTCTCTCCCATCCAATGTGCAGCCCCAAGCTGGTACCTACACTAAAGAAGCTCTCCTTGAGCTCCAGAAGAATACCAGAACCCTAGCTGGCTCCCGCCCTACTCAGCTTAAACCCAAACCCGAGTCAGCCGAGCCTGTAATTGTATTGAAGGGGCTTGTTAAGCCAACTAGTACTGTTGAACAGGAGCTGGAGAAAGAACAGGATAGTGAAGAAGATGATGGGACGGTTGAGAGACAAGGCCTGCCTCTGCGACAGGATAGAGATGATACATTGAACAGACTTGGTTCTATGGGGTTGGAAAAAGGCTTGAAGGGAACTGATGATGTTGGGTCAGAGATACCAGACCAGGCAATGATAGATGCCATAAGGGCAAAACGGGAGAGACTCAGGCAAGCTAGAGCAGCTGCCCCAGACTACATTGCATTAGATGGAGGAAGCAATCATGGGGAAGCAGAGGGTTTGAGTGACGAGGAGCCTGAGTTTCAAGGGAGAATTGGGTTCCTTGGGGAAAAAGTTGAGCAGGGAAAGAGAGGAGTCTTTGAGGATTTTGAGGTTAGGGGGTCACAGAGGGATGTTGCTGTTGATTGCGTGTATGATGAGGATGAAGAGGATAAAATGTGGGAAGAAGAGCAGGTGAGGAAGGGCCTGGGGAAGAGGATGGATGATTGTTCTAGTAGAGGAGTTAGTGGTAGTGATGGTGGTGTCAGTAATAGCCCTGTGGCTCCTAGTGTTCAGCAGACTAGGTATGGATATTCAGTTTCTGGAGCTAGTGTATATTCCCCAGGGCAGACTGTTGGTGCTCCTGTTGTTAGTCCTAGTATTCCAGGAAGCCTCCCTGGATCAGATGCTCTCTCAATTTCACAACAAGCTGAGCTTTCCAAGAAATCATTGCTTGCTAATGTGTCTAGGCTTAAGGTATTCTGGATTTACCTAAATTGCTTTTGTTTTTAAGTTGTACATATATATTTTGGGACAAAACGTTCTTACTTCAGCTGAATTTCAAATGCTATTTACTCGTGAAGTGATCCGTGCAACTCTTGAGTCTTGACTTAGAGTGAAATTATATAATGTCACTTGAAACCAAGCAATATTCACTTCACACGAGTAATGTTTTCCTCTTTCTGTGTGAATTTTAATCATTGTATGAACACGCCCTGCTGTTCTCCTTTTACACAGGAAGTGTGGTGAGTATAATTATTGCTTAGATCTACTTATTCTAGACTAGATAAACACTGTCCACAGAGAAACATAAGTATTTAACAATGCATACTAAATGTTTTTATGTACAACATGTGCTACTCAACTTAGATTTTAGATTGAAAATATATGTCTTAGTGCTGATGTGCTTAAATGTTTCCTTATGACATCTGAGTCGCCATCTACTTGACAATTTCCTGTATCACAAAGATATTGAGCATAAAGGTTCCCTTCGTGATAAACTCTGCTTTTTTCATATTTCCTTGGTCAGGAATCTCATTGCCGCACTGTGAAATCATTGGCTAAGACTGAAGAAAATTTGTCTTCATCGTTGTCCAATTTGACCTCATTGGAAAGTTCTTTATCTGCTGCTGGTGAAAAGTACATCTTTATGCAAAACCTTCGTGATTTTGTTTCTGTTATATGTTCATTTTTGCAGGTATGGTCTATTGATAGTTTGACTTACATATTTCTAAATCTTATTTTTCTTCTCTGAATCTCATTTTACAACAGATGCCATGGTTTTAGTTTTTTTGAGTGAATTACATGTTATTTATTCACCTCACATCTAGTGCTTATTTTTGTGTGAATCATGGAATCACATGATGACTTATTTAGTTTGTATTTTTGTAGAATCATCTGTAATACTGTAGGTCTAATGTTGCATGGTAGTAAATCTCTAAGCCTTCAGGAATGCAGTAGGGCCAATAAATCACCCCATGCACTCAAGTAGCTAGAAATTACGTCATTAGTTATCCAAAACAAAGGAATTTGGAACCTCTTAGAACCATAGTGAACCTTGCCTGATTAAGGTTGGGAAGCAACTCGAAATGAGGAACATGAATCCAATTTAATCACTCTGTCACATAATTTATGTCAAAGCCATATAACATTTGATTGATTTTTTTACCCATGGTAGGAGAAAGCTCCTTACATAGAGGAACTAGAAGAACAGATGCAGAAACTTCATAAAGCACGGGCAGAGGCAATTTTAGATAGAAGAGCTTCCGATAATGAGGATGAAATGAGAGAACTAGAAAATGCTATTAATGCAGCAAAGCAAATTTTTGGTGAACGTGGTGGCACCGCAGCCACAATAGTTGTTGCAAAAGAAGCTGCCCTAAAAGCAGCTGCTGAGGCAAGAAGGCTAAGAGATATACCTGTAAAGCTAGATGAATTCGGTAGAGATGTGAATCAACAGAAACGGATGGATATGACAAGAAGAGAAAAGGCTCGAGAGCGTAGGAGAGCTAAATCTGATGCTAAAAGAATGTCTGCCATTAGAAATGACAGTTCCTATCAGCGAGTAGAAGGAGAATCAAGCACTGATGAAAGTGACAGTGAGAGTACTGCCTACAAATCAAACCGTGATCAGTTGCTTCAGGTTGCTGAAGAGATATTTGGTGACACACATGATGAATACTCTCAATTAGCTGTAGTTGTTAATAAGTTTGAGAGATGGAAGAAACAGTATTCTTCAAGCTATCGTGATGCTTATATGTCTCTGAGCATTCCTGCTATTCTTTCACCCTATGTTAGATTAGAACTTTTGAAATGGGACCCTCTACATGAAGATGTAGACTTCAGGGATATGGAATGGTATGTCTCTCGATCTCATAGAAGTTGATTAACTGTGGTCTTTACAGGGTAGTTTTTGTAGTATTAGAAATCATAATGCATCTTCTGACATATACTCATGAAAAAGCATCACAATGCCTCTAATTCTAACATGATTGAAGTGTATGTACTCTGTAGATCAAAGGAAAGTAATTACTCAGAAAGTAATATCAATAAATTCAAAATAGAAGCGAAAATAAGTTTTAAATGTTTTAGGTATTTCTTTTGTTATATTTTTACTTGGAGTCTTCCCAAAAAAAAAAATTACTTGGAGTCTAATCCTATAGTTCTAGAACCTAGATTTATGTAAGTGCTGATAATGATGAAATACTTTCTTGTACTAATCTTTCCCTCATGATTAATCTTCTCATATTCTGAACGATGGTGATAAAGAATTGTACAAAAAAAATTGTAATGTTTTAGGTATTTCTTTTGTTATACTTCTACTTGGAGTCTGATCCTATAGTTCTAGATTTATGTTAGTGTCAATATGGAAAAAATACTTTCTTGGACTAATCTTTACCTCATAGTTAATTAGTCCTATCATAGCCTGAACCATGGTGATAAAGAATTGTTTTATTACCTCATTATAGGCATAACTATTTATATTGGTAGTTTAAGATTAATATATTATATATTCTATTGCAAAATAGAGTATAAGCGTCCGAACTCTGATTTGTCATGTTATTTATCATGCAATTGAAAATTCCTTTGATGATGACAAATTTGGAATTTCATTTTTCCTTTTCGTGTCAAAGTTTAAGACTTTCCGACTGTTAATTCCTTTGACGATTAGTTGGCATAATAAATCTCATGCCATTGACCCTAATGTAGCCAGGGTTAGAGTATACACATGTTATAATCAGTTCATTTGCCTTTTTTTCATCCTCTATTATATTGTTTCCATGCCTGCATCTGCTCCCATGTTTGTGAGTAATGAATATGACCTAATATTTTTCATGTCCAACCGTAGAATGTCCCATGGTCATATACTCAATAAACTTCTGTGTTTCTTAGGTAAATATTTGAGCTTAAACTCAACCTTTTTATGTGGTATGTCATGAGTTTTGTTTATGTCCAGGCATTCATTACTCTACAACTATGGACTTCCTAATGTTGATAGTGATATTAGATCTGATGAAGCTGACGCTGACGCAAACCTTATTCCTCAACTAGTGGAAAAGCTTGCAATTCCTATCCTTCACTATCATTTAGAATACTGTTGGGACATGCTTAGCACTCGTGAAACTGAATATGCCGTGTCTGCCATGAAATTGGTGTTTGGATATGTTCCCCTGTCTAGTTCTGCTCTGGGCAATTTGGTCACTGTTTTGCGCAACCGGCTTGCTGATGCTGTGGCTAATTTAGTGGTATCTTTTCAAATCCCTAGCTAAAGTCTTAACATGCTTGTTTAATGCTGAGATTTTCCAATTGATGTGTTTATGCATACTTTTATAGGTTCCCAAATGGGACAATCTTGTAATGAAGGCTGTACCAAATGCAGCTCGTGTTGCAGCGTATGGGTTCGGCATGTCTGTCCGTTTGATAAGGAATATTTGCTTGTGGAATAATGTTCTTGCAATTCCTATCTTGGAGAAGCTTGCTCTTGATGAGCTCTTAAGTGCTAAGGTTCTTCCCCATCTTCAGAGCATTAGATCAGACATTGATGATGCAATTACAAGAACTGAAAGAATTGTTGCTTCATTATATGGTGTCTGGGCTGGTCCAAATGTTAATGGTGGTAAAAGGTATTGTTTATTTATGTACTCCATCCTTCAACAGTCACACTATCTCTTCTTTCATAAGCATTAAAATGCCAGGTTCCATTGCACTTCACTGCGGATCAACCATACTATAAGGGAGTAATATTTCCGTCTTAGGACAGTGATGGAGAACTTGTTGTGCATAGAAATAGTTTCCAGGGATGATAGCTGCAGCCTGCAGGCTGGAGCCGACTGCTTCCTGAAACCTTAATGGAGTGGGTTATATCAAAAGGCCATATCACAAAATTTCATCAAAAAAAAAAAAAAATCACCCGCAAGCACCTCAAATGGAGGTGGCCAGACATTGTTCCAGTCAGGAAATTCCTGATGGGAGTTGAACTATCTGCTATTGGATGTGTATATTGGAACTACTAAACCTTTTTTCTTAATCAGTTCATGTCTATTTTAAACCTTTATGTTGTTATGTTTAAACTTAAGGTTTACACTTGAATATTTGTGTGATATGTGTACATTGGATGTATCATGTACGAAGTATGTATAATGTAATGACCATAACCTTGACAATTTATTTTCATAATTTGAATTTTGAATATTTTTATGTAACTGAAAGTGAAATGTGTTCATTTTAGGAGGATAATATTTTTTCAAGGAACCAAAAAATGGTAAGAACCGAACTGAATTTAACTAGAAACGAACCGAATACCAGGCCTATGCAATGGTATTATTTGCCCCACTTGGTAAAATAAGTAATACACCAATGCCGAATACTCTATAAAGACCATGGTAAAAAATTCCCTATTGTCCCTGGACTTGTACAACTCATTTATCCCATAAACTAACCAATGTCAATATAAGTCATTTACTCATTTTCAACCTCACACACACATCCCCCCCCCCCCCCCCCCCCCCCGATCTGGCATGTTTGTTTTTGATAATCGCTGTTTACTTGTATGTAGTCCCAAATTGCAACCACTGGTCGATTATTTGCTAATACTGAGTAAAATGCTGGAGAAGAAGCATTTGGTGACTGGAGCTGAGCAGGAGACTGGAAAGCATGCTCGTAGGCTGAAGAAGATGCTTGTTGAACTTAATGAGTATGATCATGCGAGGGAAATTTCAAGAACATTTAATATCAAAGAGGCATTATGATAGGCCCTTTCACTACAGGTTCAAATTTTCTTTACCTTTCTTTCCCAAGGGGGGCTCCACATTGAAGAGTTGTGCAGTAATTGAACATTGATTGATGAGTTGGTGTAGTTGTTTCTATCATTGATATAAGACCCTTTAGTTTCCTTCTAGTTATCAGTTTTTGACAAATTACAGCAGCTGAAAAACTAAACCTGGAAATGTGGTTTTCAGTTTGGGTGTTAACAATTAGCGCGATTAGTACAAAACTACAAATATGGTTAGATTTAGTTTAGGGGGAATTGGAGTTTGTACCCCACTTGGTTTGTCTAAGTCTGAGTTTGCACTCAATTATGGAAATCATTAGTATATGCACCATAAATATCTTGATTTCCATCCCATTTTCACTCCCCATGATAAAACATGAGGTATAAGTTTAAATTAGTGGGGTGCAAATTTTGATTTGGTTTTTGGATTTTAACCAACACATATCATGTAACATGGAAAATCATACAAACCAAAAAATTTATAGATTAAAATTTTATAACCAAAAATCATCGCAACACACTAATTTTATAAAGTTAAATTTTTAAGTATTCATTCATGATTAAGACATTCAGCCCCATTATGGTTATCAAAAAATGCTCATTCTAGTACTCCAAGTACAGAGTAGTATTTAATTCATTTAGGCTTTTGGCTTTCCCATATAAAACACTTCATTTTAATTAGAATGAGTAAGAAAAACGTATGGTTTTATACATATTAAAGTTTTGTTTTGAATATAGTTTGGAATTCTATAAAATGTTTATATAGAAGCAAAAGAAAATAATTGTTTTTTAATAGAAGGAATTAATGATTTGTCTAAGTCCAGACAAACAAGAGTGAAAAGTTTAAAGTTCATGAATTATTTGTAGAATTTGACAGATTTAGGACAACTAATGGAATTAAATTCTGAAATCTGTTGTTATAGGGACAAAAGATTTGGCGGCTACCCCTTGCCTGATGTCTAAGGGCAGACATGGTCACCCATCAAAAGTTAGTCACAAGAGTCGTGCGGGTTAACTGGAATCCAGAGGCTTACCCTTCTAGTGTTTTACTTTTCAAAATTGAGGTGATGCAGCAACATATTTTTGTTGGCTGTCGCCATTTCTGTTAATTACGTCATATAGAATAATAGATCAAATCTACTCGTTTAGAGGTTTGAAGGAACTTTAGGCAGCTGCTAAAACTATACTGCCTAAGCTGGATTATTATAGGCCAAAAGGAGAGCGTGGAAAATGCCTAATTGGCCGGTAGCCCTGACCCCTTCGGCGTGGAGAGTGGAGTGGAAAATACAATCTTGTTCGTAGTTATCAATAATATAGTAATGTAAAAGAACTATGTAGGTTTTGATGTATCGTATACCCCACTTAATTTCAAGTGCAAGACCATTTTTTAATGTTTCAATGAAGTATTTTTAATTGTACTCATTTAAGTTGTTAATAATAATAAAAAATCAAAATTTGAGTGTTTTCATAATGGTATCATTTGCTATTTCTTTTGAAGGGTAACAGAAAAATTCGATTAGAAACTGCCTTGACTAGACCCGAGAACTGGGCAGTTGGCTCGGAACTGGAGCTTTACCGGGATAAACTAGGGATGGACTTGGGCCGGGTGGCCCGACCCGGAACCGACCCGGCCCGGTGGCCCGGTCCACCGGCGGTTCGGGTCGAACCGGCCCGGTGGATACCGGTTCCGGGCCCGGGCCCTCCATTTGGTGAACCGGCCCGGCCGGTTCGGGTCCGGTCCGGGCCAGATTTAATTTTTTTTTTTTTTTTGAAATTTTTTTGAGTTTTGGGTTGGATTAGGTATTTGGGGTGATTTGGGGTGGTTTGGGGTTGAGGGGGAGGGGGTTAAATAAGAGAAGCAAAAACAAAAAAAAATAGGGCGGGTGAACCGGCCCGGAACCGGCCTGGTCTGGCCCGGAACCGGTCACCGCCGGTTCGGGCTCGGGCCTCCCTTACCTTGAACCGAGGCCCGGCCGGTTCAAGGCCCGAACCGGGCCCGAACTGGAACCGGTCCACCCCTAGGATAAACCAAACCCATCTGTGGGTACCTTAAGCAATGAATCCTGGGACAGGACTGGGAACTGATGGTCCTGGGTCCTGGGATGGTCCGCCCACCCCTACTTTTTTGTGGTATTGACTTGTTAGTGACTACGTATTATATTGGTTTTCAATTGTATCTAAAGAGACGTGAATACCTGTAGCGAGTATTATTTGAATTGTGTGAATTTTCAGGATTTCTCAAATACGAGTAAAGCGTGGCCATTTGCTTAGAAGTAGGCCTGGACTCGGGCCGGTTCGGGCCCGGCCGGGCCTCGGGCCAGGAAAGTTGGGCCCGAGCCCGAACCGCCGGTGGGCGGTTCCGGTTCCGGGCCAAACCGGGCCGGGCCGGGCCTAACCGGTTCTATTTTTTTTTTGGCTCTTCTATTTAACCCCAAACCCCTCCCCCTCAACCCCAAATCACCCCAAACCACCTCAAATGGCCCAAAATACCTAATCCAACCCAAAACTTAAAAAAAAATTCAAAAAAAATTAAAATTAAAATTAAAAACCGGACCGAACCGGGCCCGAACCGGCCGGGCCGGTTCACCAAAAACTGGGCCCGAGCCCGAACCGCCCAGCAGCCGGGCCGGGCAGAACCGAACCGGTGGACCCACCGGGCCCCGGGCCGGGCCGGGCCAAACAGTAGCCGGGCCGGGCCGGTTCCGGGCCGCCCGGCCCGAGTCCACCCCTACTTAGAAGTATCAACATTCCAAGTGTCTATACGTCAAATAAATAATTGAGTTCATCATTTTGTGATCATTTATAACGTATAGTCCATGATGTTTATTACATGCACAACTCTTATAATTCTCCAAATTTGAGGACGTTTGAATTAGTTTTCCCCTATAAAAATGTGGTTGGTTAGCTTTTTAACTTAATTGGATGAAATGTTTTTTATCGTAATTTTATTCAACAAAAGTATATTTCCAAATGTTATTTTGATACTTGAATTTGTCTGGGGTAGTAAAGAGTGCGCCAACTCACGTTAAGGGTTGGTTTGTAACTCCTTTTAAAAAAGCACTTCTCAGCTTTTGACTTTAAAAAAACACTTATTTTCCCAAACACTACAACTTTTATTTTTCTCGGCTTCCGCGTCAAAAGTGCTTTACTTTTTCTATTACACAAAAAGCACTTATTTTACCAAACACTACCCACTTTTACTTTTCAAAATCATTTTTTTCTCAAACACTATCAACTTTTATTTAACCACTTCTCCCCATTTCATTAAAAAAAGCACTTTTTTAAAAGCAGAAGCTCTTGCAAAATATAACCCTAAAGCTCATAAAGAACTCCAACTTGCTTCAGAAAGAGTAAAGAGCATCGATTATATTGGAGTTAAGAAAGCAACTTATTTTTGAGGAGTCATTATAGAACTTTCTTCATCTACATTAAATATTTTGAATTTAAGCTAGAAATAATGACATAATACTGCGGAGTACATACAAATCTTGCAATCTTTGGCGTATGTTGCTATGTCTGCACGGAAAATGAAAATGATGTACTAAAATGGCATGTCACAATAAAATGAAAATAATTTTATATTATCAAAGTTTCTATACATACAACACCTATCATTTGCATTAGAATGCACCAACTTATTTAACTAGTAATTTTATTAAATGTTTTGTACTCTCTCCGTCCTAATATTGGGATAGAAGAGAGTGGTGTGATTTTTAAGAAAAGTGTGGTTATGTGGTTGATAATGACTTGATAAAGTGAGAATAAAGTAAGAACGGATTAGTCACACAAATGTTACCAAATATGAAACGAGACAATAATAAGGGAATATTTAAAAATGAAAAAATGAGACAATTATAGGGGGCGGAGGGAGTAGTTCTTAATTTTACGTATTTGATAATATGTTCTATCAAAATATTACAAATCATGAACCCTTCTCAAATAAAAAATTAACTATTCATGAAAATTTAAAAATTCTCCATCAATATTTCATGGATTTATCATAATTAACTAATTTCATTGATTTAAATAGTGTAACTTACTCCGCCAAAGATAATTTGAAGTACTTCATGAGCTTTATGTAAATTCATTTACTTTTTATTCAACCAAAGACAAATTCAAATATCAAATTGACACTTGTTAAATTAGAAAGATAAAAAACATGTCGAGAGAGAAAATAACATCAACTAAAACTGAATGTTTTCATCATTAATTAAAGGGAAAACTGTCAAACAGTTCTCTGTACTATATCGAAAAAGTCAATTAAATCCTTGTACTACTAAATCCTTCAATTAGATCCTTCAAGGCTCCAACTATATAAAAACACTCAATTTTTGAATTTTAACCGGTTGTTTAAAAATTTCACCGGTCATAGACTCATAGTTGACTTTAGTTGACTTTGTATAACACGTGGCATATTGTTTCTTTTTTTTTTTCTTTTTCTCCTTTCTTTCTTCTCCTCTGCTTTACTCGACGTCTGCAACTCTTCAAGTGTTTCTTTCTTTCTTCCGTTTCTTTTTTGTTCTGTCTTTGACTTTCTTCTTGAGCCAAGGAACCAACTGACAAACACAAGACCTCTTTTCCCTCATTTCTTTTGCAAAGTCACCCAACACACCAACCGGCCGTTCCTTTCTCTGTGGACAACGAACTGCGTCAGCCGTCGGCAGATGAACAATCACACAAACTCATCGCTAAACTTGCGGATTCGATAGTGAAGTTCAACAACCTCTGGCGGGACATGTCCCATAACTTTCGGCGACTTTGCAGCATCCCTCCATGGTTCAGCGACATCACATCATCCATCCCTCCATTTTCGGGCGACATCAAAGCAGCTCCACGCCATCACTAATAGAACTCGTCTTCCTCTGGGTGGGTGGGAGTAAGGAAGAAGGAAATAGAGATTAAAGAAGAAGAAGAAGAAGAAAGGATGTTGCAAACTTTCAAGTTTCAACTAGGGCTTGGGTGGAAGAAGACAGCCCAGAAAGTGGAGGGAAAGAAAATGAAAAATCAGAAGGAAAAAAAGGAAGAATGTAAACTTGCCACCTTGATCATCGAGGTGTGTAAGATGACCTTTAACCGGTTGTTTACCGGTGGGAATACCACATTGACTATTTTTATATAGTTGAGGGATTTGATTGGATGATTTAATAGTACAAGGACCTAATTGACTTTTTCGATATAGTACAGGGACCTATTTGATAGTTTTCCCTTAATTAAATTAAACTATCAGCTTTTTGGCAAGTCTAATACACAACAAAAGGTATAACGCTTTTTAGAAGATGACATGATACAACAAAGTCAAATGAACCCTTCTCAAATAAAAATTCATCCGATTGTGCCACAAGGTTTAAATTACAGGAGAGCAATCCATACCTCTAACTATCTAACAATGTGTTTAATTCAAAACTTAGCGTATCTACTTCTGACATCATCCTCCAAAACAACATTAAATCGGAAATAATCCGTGCATAGAATGACGACCAAAATTCAACTCAGAATTTCAAAATTGGTATAATAAATAGGTCCCATTTGAGGCTAAGAAAGTATTTAAATACTGGAACTCACACTAAGGAAACTTGTACTTCGAATTAGAAGAGCCATAAACACGCTGATGAGTGCTAAAGACCATGTTTCCGAGTGAGTGCAATGACGATTTTATTCAAGCTGGTGATTTCTTTATCTCTCTGCCTAAGCTCTCCCTTCAACCTTTCAATCTCCATCAAGTGGGTTTCACACTGGTCACTATCTTTCTTCTCAAGCTCCTCTGAGCCTGTATGGTGATCCTTCTTTAATTTCTTGCATTTCCTCGAGGGTTCCTCATCTTGTAATGGACGTTTGATTGTCGTGTTTTCATTATCTTTACCAGCAATTTCACGGGCCAACTTGCAAACACATACACGTCCAAAGACTCCGGTGTTGTGTAGAAATGAAATAATTTTCTGGGACCGTCCATAAGGATCCTGGGAGAAAGACATTGACAGCGTTGCTTTTGAAATACCAACCAGACCAGGGAAAAATAACAGGAGGGTTTGACAAAAGACTACAAGAGTTTACTGGAGTGGTTAGGCTATACATCCAAATTATTTCTTTACACCTTTATCAATATGTAACCTAATTTAGTAAAATGTGTAACAATACATTTAAATGGAGTGTGTACGCCCATGCTGTAAAACTGCATACATTTAAAACAGCTCTTTAAGAAGCTAAACATAAAACTGCATAACCATCCCCCTATACAGGGAAGAACATGAGTCCATATTCTCAGTTTCTATTTAATTGCTTCAAATAGTCTGAATATGGCCTCATATGTTATAGGTGAAAGAAAATCAACTCCAACGCTTTGAAGCACTATGGGGGGGAAACTAAGAGAGAGAAAAACAGAGGTCGTGAGAAATAATACCTTCTCAACGGAACCTTCAAGCTTTTCAAATGCCTCATTTGCCTCTTTCTGATTTTTGAAAATTGCCAGTG